TTGTTCCTCAAATAGCCATCATTTAATTATGTCATTGTTGCCCTCTGGTAATTTCACAGTTTGCTATAGAAATTCATAGAAATTCACCATTCTTCAACTTTTGTTTATTCATAGTCCAGTAAACAAACATAGATATTTGGAAACTCCATCATTTCCATTCATTCCCGAACAAAAGCAATGGAATTCCATAGTTTGTACTATGTTTACTGCAGGATAAATCCCGATGTTTGCTGGTTAATCTCGTATCAGTCCTATACTTGCTCTATATTTGCTGCTGATTCATGTTTTTTCCATGGGTTCATGGCTTACCCTCTGGTAAACATCACCAAAAACTCATGGGAACATCACCAGAAATCTGTGGGCAATTTTCAATAGGGAAGGGCGAAAAATTACCAGAGGGTAAGGTGGCATCATCTAATCCTGTATGTACTTATATACATAGCAAATAACTGTAGATACAATGTGGATAAAATCATGATTTAGGTATATATATATATATACATATATTCCAGAGGGTAACTACTGTAATGTCAACCCCGGATTAATAAACCATGGTTTATTAATTAAGGGGGTACTCCTCCAATAGTCATTCCATCTAATACTTAAATGTACCCTCCCAATTAAACAGCCGTTTGGAGTTTATTAATCCAGGGTTGACATTAACCATTAATTCCCCGAGGGTAAACCACGCTGTTCGCCGTGGCACCTGGAGGTTCGCCATCTGTTCCTCGCTGCGCGCAGAAAGGAGGCTCCGATGCCAATGCAGAAAGATGGCGTGAAGCCGAACAACCTGGGGAGGTGACGTGAACCGACGTGATTTCCATGGGGATTTCCATGGGATTTGAATATGAACAGATATTAAAACATATGAAAACTGCGGATTTATAGTGGATTTATCCCAATGATATCCCTCATGAACCATCAAACATTTTGAAAAAATGAAGTGTTCACTATGAACATATGATGAGGCTTGATGGGATTGGGGATATGATGGAGATATAGTGGGATACATTTTTTTTGAATGGGGGGTCTACCATCTACTCTCCAGTCATGGCTTACCCCTTCGGAAATGATCAGACTGGTTACCCAAGAATAAACCTACCAGACTTGGGGATGGTCCGGGATGGTTTACAGCCCCCATAACGATGGTGATGTTACATGATTTTACGGTGTTTCTTATTGGGTTTACCACATGACCATCTCGTTATGACTAACAGTTCGCCATGGAAAATCACCATTTGTAATAGGTAAACCATCTATTTCTATGGGCCATTTTCCATAAATGGGCCATCTATACCATGGCTATATTAGTCATAACCAGAGGGTACTAGCACAGCAAATTCGGTAAAATCTCACCTGCTCGGTCTATCCGCCCTGGACCTCCAGATCGTTGAGGAAAAGGAGATCACCTCGCCCCCAGGCCTCGCTGTGCCCATCGAACATTGGGATCACACCCAGGTATTGAAACCAAGATAGCTCCACTTACTGTAGCAAAAAGTAGCTGGGTTTCAATGGGAGATCTTCAGGATCCTAAAATGGAGGTACGTTAGTACAATATTTCTGGCCATATTTTCTGGGGATATTCCCTGAAATTTAGCCCTTAGGCCTTATATATGGTAGGTACCTCCAATTTGGGATCCTGAAATTCCCATTGAGGGTTTGTCCAAAAAGTCGGAAACACTCCAGAGTCATGATCACTGAAAGATATGGAAAAATGATCTTCCTGCTCAATCACTGGATAAGTGCCCTATTGTTTCAGGCAAGACCATGTCTTCAAAGTGCATCAACTCGCGGAACTTGACTAGTGGAGCTCGGATGCTGTAAAGTCAATAAGATCCACAAGTCAATGGATTGGTTTAAGGGAAAATCTACAGGAAACCATGGATTTTCCCTTGAAATATTGGGGTTTCCTGTATATAATTGTTCCCTTAATTAAAACCAATGCATTGAACAAGAAAGAAAGTTCATTAATGGTGAGTTTCTTGAGTTTGGATCACCAGTTGCCGCTTCAGCCAAAACTTGCCTGTTGTAGAGACTGTTGTCCAAAATACCATACACCACATCAATCTAAAAACATGTCGAACTTTAATAACTTTATCAGGCGAACAAAAAGATGTTTCGTGGCACTCAGACTTCAGTCCTTAGACTTAATGCACTCTGAAGACTACCCTGGGGTAATTTAACATAGCTACGGAAATTTCACTATGTTTAAAGGTAAATGGTCATCTATAAATGGTGATATATATATATAATATGTCATAATCATAATCATAGTACCAAATGTTTTGCTTCATAAACTATTCACAATAGCTATTCACCATATTACCATATGTTTTGTTTTACGATCCTGATATTGCCATATGTTTTAGAGATGATGTTTAATAAACGAGATCATTGTCAAAGCACCGGAGAATTTTCATAGGTCATCTCGCTGGATCAAACATGGTTCGGGGTGATTTTTATCATCCAGAGATTCTAGTGAAGAAATTCATGCCCATGAACTCTATAACAGCGAGAATTATATAGATATAAATCCAATCAACATACCCATGGCTTTGGCTATATGGCCATTTGAGGTCCAGTAGATTTACTTTCAATTCTGGGTTGTACTTGTATGGCCAGATCTTGTTGCTCAAGACCCTGTGACGACCATCATTTCAACTTGGCATATCTTGGCATGATGAGTTGGTTGATTTATTAATATAACATGTCTGTCAACGACTACAAACCATGTCATACCTGCCAAAACAAAACATCGAACCTCAAAATGCCAACTTCGGGGCGAACAACAACCTTTCATCACCATTCTTTTTGGATATCTATGGGGGCTATCTTCTGCATGTTTTTGGATGAGTCCCGGCCCATTTCGGATACAACCCAGCCTTGGTGAGCCGATGAAGATCATCTTTGAAGCTACGATGGAGTTCTTGCACCCGATTACCATGGGCCTCTGCGTCCAAGTTTTACCCTTCAATCTGGGAGATCCTGTAAGTCTTCCCCATCTTCCCCGGGACATGGCAGTCACTATCAGTCAAAATTTCAGGCGCTAAAAGACGTGTATGAAGAAAGTATCATGTTGGTATAGGTTGGTCATGTATAGAGTTTCTAGCAACCCCTAAACAGATAGAAAAGACATGAACAGACAAGTCCTAGGTGAAATACCTGTTCTATCATTTTGGAGGCTAATGGAGGCTACAGGCTACTCTAAACATCTACAGACCATCGGGCCATATGGGCCATATCATTCTGGGATACCCAACTAGCCATACGCAAACAAATCAATGTGGGTAAAAGCAGCCTCTACATTGGACATTTGTCAAATCGCAGGCCTTATATCTCCAATAATCTTCAACAGCTGTGCTGCAACAACATCAACTTCCACTGCAATATCTACTTTGGAGGCCTCGAAAAGAAAAACAACTGGCTATTACAGTATATAGATTCCAACTACTTGTACTTGAATGTCCATCCTTCACTATGTATACTCAGCCAAGATTCCGGTCCGTAACAACTTCCAAGTGCCATTCGGAGGTTGATCATTTCCAGTGGATGTACAGTGAATGACCCTAAACTAAACAACTTCTCGGTAATATTAAGCACCCCCATTCCGTAATCCCACATATGTATGTTTAAAAACCCCTGCTATGTAAAATATGTTTTCTGGATGTTTCTGGGCTGTGTCTGGCATTGCGAAAGGGATTCAAAAACTGTTGTTGAATTTTATCGGCCTTGTGGCTTACCACCTCATATTTCAAATACCACACGGGCAATAAGACAATGCATGAGTCCCAACCGTCAGTCAGCAGTGCAATGATCCTGCCTGATCACGGTTTCAATAGGGGACCAACGGTGCTGTGGTTGTTTCAATGTCCAAGGTGGGTCACAATTCATTCTGGATCCCCTCGGCTTCTGGCAATTTGTACTAGTGAATCAGAACAAAGAACAATCTCTTTGGATAAGCCCCAATATTTTGCTAGTTCAATTCGACTTTTGGTTTGTTACTTGTTGGATCATGTGGGTTGTCACATCGGCACATAAGCATGTATGTATGTATATATATATATGCACACATTAATAATAGATGTCTACATATGTGCATCTACCATGTATATCTATCAATATATCATACATAAATAAATTTAGATAAACATATATAAAACAAATAAATTAAATGAAGAAATTAATATCCTTCTCCGGCATTCAAACATGGCTGGGAAATCTCCCATTGACTTCGATGATTTCAGCCCTGGACAGGTCCCACAGCCAGGCCCAGCGACACAAATGCACCAACAGCGCCAGACTGCTTGGAGATGCAAACGCGCCTGCTGAGATGGGCACTGGAGATACAATGCTACTGGTATCCATGTTAATGCATTTTAGGGAACATCTCAATGGATTCTTGGAGATTTTGTGGATTATCATCCGAAAGGGCGACCAAAATAAGGACCATCCATGATCAAAGATGCTGGCTTAAGCATGAAAAGTTTGCCTTTTCCATGATCAACACTGAGAAATGTAGATAAACCGAAATTGGGATAGGTGGATGGCAGCTTGGTCTTATGGATGGCTGCATGCATGCATGGAAAAACAATAGATAGGTGGATGGATAGACATAGAAAAATAAACAACTACATACACATAGATTAAAACACATAGGTGCAAATGCCAACAATACGCGCAACTTTATGGAAATAAATAGACATACACACGGATATCCCGGATATATCGTTGTGGTCATCGACAGCAACCCATTGATTTTGGCATCGCCTGATCGGAACCCCAAGCTGCAGCCACTCGTTGGAGAAGCATCTCACCTCGGATTTCCGGCTGTGATGGCGAGCCCCAAGACACATCCATCACCGGAAGGTCTGGGAACAAGTCACCATGGATTTCAATACCGAGATGGTCTAATGAGTCTAATGACTCGGATGGTTTGGGGTACCCTCATTTCAGGAAACCTCCATTTTTTGGCAACGCCAAACATCATCAAACGCGTTGTTGGGGCTGGTCGAAAGTGAAGCACGGCGCAGCGGGTCAAAATAACATGCCAACATCAACCGTTGTGTTACATGCTATTCATATTTGGAATATTCAACCTGATACCAGGATCTTGATCAGCACGCACATTCTTCAAACCAAATCGTATGTTCCACCCACAGCATGATCCTCATCATTGCTAGCCAAAACTACCCTGCTTTTCTCAAACTCCTACAAGACAGCCTCTTAATCTCCTTTTTCACCTTGCAACGCACCCAGAAAATGGCAAGGTCCGAGAATTGCCGCTTGAAGAAACACCTTCATATATATATATATATATAATCAAAATAACCTACTAATCTACTAACAACATCTAATACCCTCTGGTAAATTAACATAGCTATGGAAAATCACCATTTTTAATGGGTAAATCCACTATAAATGGCCATTTTCAATAGCTACGTTAAATTACCAGAGGGTAACAACATCTAATAATAAGACTAATGGATATTGGTGGTTTTTTCAACGCCATCCGGGTTGGTGATGTCAACTCCTCACAAGATGAGTCATTGGAGATCACTATCCGAAGTATATTTCAACATAAACACTATGCAACCCCCAAGCAGATCATCATCGGTCATATACTGTACCCATTACATCATACATTACATCATATTACATCATATGATATCCAAATTTTGGCTGGTTAAATCATCTTAAATCCCTATGTCTGTTGGTTAACATGGTTAAATCAATGGGATTTTCCATGGATATCTGACTGGTTCTATCCCCATTCCTTGGATTCTGGCGTCGCCCAATGTGTCGCTGCGTCCCAGCGTGGTCTTGCAGCCTGGAGCGCATGGAGCTGCTACTGTGCTGACCGTGACAAACAAACCAAGACATAGCTATGATGGGGATATGTAACGTATATATATATATATATATATTGATATACCCCTACAAGCGTTAACATATAGAATATGTGAATATATATATATATATATATATTTGTATGTATATATGTAACATATAGAACCAACAGTGATAAACAAAAATGCTCAGCGTTCTGATTTAACCCACAGGGAACCAGTGGATTCTCCCATTGATCCCAGCAGAAAGTATGGGTCACTGGGACACCTGCCAGTTGGCGAAACAAAATTCCTTCACGGACAAAAAGAAAAAGTGATGTTTACCACCAACAATGTCTCCAAAAGGTCCCCTTTTATATACCCCAAACAAAAACTAAATGAAGAATCCCCAAGAGTGTCAACAAATGAGTTTGTCAAAAATAGGATACCCCCAAACCAACTGATTGATCATCATGTTCCCCGATAAAAATTACGATAAACTTGGGGTACAGACCCCTTTTTCAGACACACCCAAATATCACATGAAAATATCAAGTTGCTCAAATATCTCCATTATATCCCCATCATGTGCCCATTAATACAATATGACATCCCGTTAATTTTCAATTTGCTAATGCTTAACAACAATCTTAAGTCCCCCTATATATATATATATGCTTATATATTTCCCTGTGAATCTATATGCTTCGACCCCAAGAAGCATAGCCCAAATACTTCCTCAGAATGTCATTGTATATATATATATATGTTGTCGGTCCCAAGATATCCTGTATGTATATATATATACACATAGTTAATAACAATATCAATCCTGAAGTACTGTAGATACAATGTCAAAAAAAACAATTCAAAGATATTCCCATGTATTTTTGTTCGGTTTGTTTTTTGACATATCCATATTCTATCTACTCCAGGATGGCTATATGATTATGGGATAACTATTGATAACTATGATAGCTGTAAGTGTATGAGAATATATTAACAATGATTAGGACTATGGGATTCTGGGTTATGTATTAGTTATTATTATATATGGTTATTCAAGATAGCTTTGGAAAACGGTCCATTTATAGATGATTTAAAGATGATTTGTAGATCATTTATAGATTAGTTAAAAATGATGGACAAACGATTCTTTAGACAATTCATAGATGATCTATAGATGACTTATAGATGATTTACCCTTTGGTAAATTAACATAGACCCTGGCAGATAGGGGTTGGAAGACTAGTTTCCACTATAAATTGGTGATTTTCAGGGTCTATGTTTATTTACCATAGGGTACCTATCCTATCCAAAATATGGCATCTCCCCCGGCATCTCCGGCGCCATCGCAGCCAAATGGCTCCACCACCTGACGCCGCCATTCCATCAGGGCCTGCACCTGATGGCTGCGTGAATGACTAAATCAGGTATACAGTGTATACGTTATATATATAGAATGATATCTATATATGTATATGTATATACATATATATATATATACATATGCAGTACTGTAATGTACACATGTATGTGTACATACATATATATTACACTGTATATAGTATACAAGCGTATATATCAATGTTGATGCTCAGGCAAGTCTTTATTTGATTCATTTGATTGGTTTTGTTGGGGTTAATTGATCATGTTTGGCGTACGTGGTCACTTGACCTGATGTTTACAGATCTGTCCCAGCAGTATAGAGCCCAAAAACGACCCTTCCATGTAGCCCCTGGGCCGACCAATAATCTTAAATGCTATGGTTCTCGTGGGTATCTATTTCACCCATATCTGTAGCAGTGATCCCAGAAGACAAAAAGAACAAGGAATCCCAGTAGTAGGGAATATTTGGAGGTTTCCTGAAATAGGGGTACCCCTAAATCATCCATTTATGAATGGATTTTTCATTATAAACCATCCATGTTGGGTCCCCCATCTATGGAAACCCCTATTTACCCATCTACCGACATATACACCCAGTTTCCACCTTTCACCAATGCGGATCTTCGATACCCATCAAATGGCTGAAGATTTCACCATTGTCAAACAGTTTACGCAGCAAAAAAAGGCATCCCACTAGGCACCAAGCCTTCCAGAACTCCCAATTGTGTTAATTGTGCTGGGTCATCTACCCATTCTTGGTAAGTAGATCTGAAAGAGAACTGCATCCTTTAGCTTAAGACGTCTAAAACCCATGCAGTGGAAGATCGAAAAAAACATGTGAAAATAAAACGAACAAAACTAAACAAATCAAAACAAACAAACAAACAAACCAGGAAAATCAAACAAACCAAACAAAAAAACAACGAAACACAAAACGATTAACCATAGATTCACCATGGAGTAACCATAGATTAACCATAGATTCACCATATATTGACCATAGAGTAACCATAGATTAACCATAAATTAACGTGATATGTATATATATATATATAGAGGGAGATATGGGAACAACATGGAACAACATGGAACAACATGGCGCACATCGAGAAATCAGATTGCTTCCAGCAATGCATATGTCCATTTTTGTCGGCCCTTGCGTGTTTCTGCCAAACTGTACACTGGCATCACTGCGTTCCCCTATAGATTGCCAAAAATTGCCAAAAACAAAAAATCACCGAAATAAATGGGATTACCTTGATATCTTAGTTTTTGGTTAGTTTTAGATGGTTTTACAATGTTTTACATCGTTTTACATGGTTCTACAACCTGGATTCAGCCGAGCGGCTGCCATGAAGTGTTTACGTTGCTCCTCAGCCAGCGCCTGATGGTATACGGCTCATTTTTTTTGGGTATCCGAAGGGAAACAATATAATGTGTATCAATTTGTAATATTTGGGGGTAGGGAATCATCCAAAAATTGAAGTTATTGCAATTACATGCAAATACGTAAATCTTGACCCTCCAGGGACTCCAGTATCCCAGATATTGTTTCAGGCAAACATTTGCAGGAACCCAAGTTTGGATTCAGGTGGGAGAAGAAATCTTGGTTTCCTACACAGCATATGGCATGGATATGGCATGGGTATCATTCTGAGTGCACTATGGTCATGGTACCAGAACAAAATGGATGGACAACACCAACATTCTGATACCCAAAGTTCATGGCTCAAAACTCTTCCAACAATCCTTAAAAATCCTTACCTCAGCTGAAAGTTGCTGATGTACCCTCCAGAAAATTCACATACTGTAAACCCTGATAGGGGTTTGGAAGATTAGTGTCCACTCAAAATGGCTTATGTTCAGGGTCTATGTTCATTTCCCAGATGGGTAGTCCCATTAATTTACCAAATATTAGTGTCCACTAAAAATGGCTTATGTTCAGGGTCTATGTTAATTTACCAGATATTAGTGTCCACTAAAAGTGGGTTAATTTACCAGAGGGGAGTCCCCATGTTGGCATGGGTGAAATCCGTTCAAACCCGTGCCTCGCTGGCGCCCAGCATTTGCGTAGCCAGGGCTGTGGCGCGGCGCTCCGGGGCGTCGCGGCCTTCCAAATGTATGGCAAGTCATGGGAGGTAGTGTATCTACCATCTACCCATCATCTATCATATATATATATATATACATTATATTATATATATACATTATATTATATATACAGTAGATATATATATATTGTTACGTATCGAAAACCAAAGTGTATCTATACTATGGAATAGTTCTATTGAATATGCTCTGTGTGTGTGTTGTAATACTATTTTAATATTGAATCATATAAGTTACATAGTATAATATATATATATATAATGTGTGTTGAATGTGTTGAATCATATTGTGTACTAATTAATCAATATGTTAAACATGCACAGCATGGTATCACTTTGACTGTAAATATGTTGCGCACCTGGCCGCGCGGTCGTTTCCCTGAGACAATGGTTGCATTGCCACATACCTTGTTTTTTTTTGTCTTTGGCCTTTGTTTAGTTGGTTTGCAAATATCCGAGTTATAGCAAACTATCAAAGTTACCCTTCCACTTTATAATATCAACTGGATTGTTATATAGAATCTACATGTTCAATATGTTTTCCCCATGGTATCAAAATGTTAATAGTATCAAATTTATCCCCATCGTAAACCCAGGATTGATGGTAGCCCATTGTATCCCTACTACATCTTGATAATTGTTAGTTAACTCTCTCCTTATATAACGGTGTTAGCTCCCAACTTTGATGTCACATCCCCGTTCTTTCTATCCCGACTTTTCATTGTTAAATCACCATGTTTGATGTTTAAATTCCGGTGTTCCATTTACTACCGTAGCAAATCACAATTTTTACCTTTTTTATAGTGAAATCATCATTTCATCATGCGAAAGTCAGCATGTTCAATGGTTACCCTCCTGTAACATAGATGTGCAGTTTACCCACCATGAATGTATATAGATCAGTTTCGTAGGGAAACCATGGGGATGGGTCAAACCTCTTATTGCCATATTTGGGGAACCATCCATTAACCAGCCCAGATATTACTTTAGGAATATTTTAGGTCTTAACCTATGATAAAACCATAAAATTGCAATATTTTAGGTATTAACCTATATTACCTATATTATTAACCTATTATTTACCTATTAAAAACCCATTACCCATCAACCATATCCTATAGGATACTGGGCTTCCCCAGCGGTGGAGCCTCTCCGTGCCGCCTCGTGCGCTAGGCGCCAATGGAGCAACTTCCGCTGCGCCACGTGGAAGCTGCGGAGCCCGGCCGAAAAAAGGATGCGGCCGGAGGGGATTTGTGCACATAAATAGAAGTGATATACTGTGATGGTAGAGAATATACACTGGTAGGACAAAAGTTGCGCTTGTTGAGCTTCCGGCAGTGAACATGTTTGGTTCCTTCTTCTGCACACCCTTTCCCCTTAGAATCCTAGCATGGAGCTTTGTCGTACCCCGGTCGAATTTCCACCCTCCAAAAGCTTTTAATCTTATAGATTTAAAAGCGGGTGATAATTGACCGTCCCACACCTGCCACACGAAATGGACTTGGAAATGTGATCCGCGGTTGACCGAGATGGATGCTTTGTCAAACTTTCAAGAAGCTTAAACTTTGTTCCTCCTGAAGGGTTAAAAAAGCTTATTCAGTGGGAATTGTCAAGCCGGCTGCTGCTTGTTGCACGTGCGTCAGCTTGGTCATCATACTCCACATAAAATATCTGTACCCTCTGGTTTCAAAGCTTTTTTGTACAGCAAACCTTACCTTCTTCATTGTTGCTATGGTGTCTCATTTGCAACTCTGTTCGATTGAATTTTTTTGGGAAACGTCCATACTCTTTTCTGCAATGCTACACCTGTGCCGTGACGCAGGGTAAAAAAAGCTTATTCAGTGGGAATTGTCAAGCCGGCTGCTGCTTGTTGCACGTGCGTCAGCTTGGTCATCATACTCCACATAAAATATCTGTACCCTCTGGTTTCAAAGCTTTTTTGTACAGCAACCTTACCTTCTTCATTGTTGCCATGGTGTCTCATTTGCATCTGTTCGATTGAAAATTTTTGGGAAACGTCCATACTCTTTTCTGCAATGCTACACCTGTGCCGTGACGCACTGGTAGGACAAAAGTTGCGCTTGTTGAGCTTCCCACAGTGAACGTGTTTGGTTTCTTCTTCTGCACACCCTTTCCCCTTAGAATCCTAGCATGGAGCTTTGTCGTACCCCGGTCGAATTTCCACCCTCCAAAAGCTTTTAATCTTATAGATTTAAAAGCGGGTGATAATTGACCGTCCCACACCTGCCACACGAAATGGACTTGGAAATGTGATCCGCGGTTGACCGAGATGGATGCTTTGTCAAGCTGTCAAGAAGCATAAACTTTGTTCCTCCTGAAGGGTAAAAAAAGCTTATTCAGTGGGAATTGTCAAGTCGGCTGCTGCTTGTTGCACGTGCTTCAGCTTGGTCATCATACTCCACATAAAATATCTGCATCCTCTGGTTTCAATGCCTTTCTGTGCAGCACCCTTGCCTTCTTCATTGTTGCCATGGCGTCTCATTTGCAACTCTGTTCGATTGAGGGTTTTGGGAAACGTCCATACTCTTTTCTGCAATGCTACACCTGTGCCGTGACGCAGGGTAAAAAAAGCTTATTCAGTGGGAATTGTCAAGTCGGCTGCTGCTTGTTGCACGTGCTTCAGCTCGGTCATCATACTCCACATAAAATATCTGCATCCTCTGGTTTCAATGCCTTTCTGTGCAGCACCCTTGCCTTCTTCATTGTTGCCATGGCGTCTCATTTGCAACTCTGTTCGATTGAGGGTTTTGGGAAACGTCCATACTCTTTTCTGCAATGCTACACCTGTGCCGTGACGCACTGGTAGGACAAAAGTTGTGCTTGTTGAGCTTCCGACAGTGAACATGTTTGGTTTCTTCTTCTGCGCACCCTTTCCCCTTAGAATCCTAGCATGGAGCTTTGTCGTACCCCGGTCGAATTTTCACCCTCCAAAAGCTTTTAATCTTATAGATTTAAAAGCGGGTGATAATTGACCGTCCCACACCTGCCACACGAAATGGACTTGGAAATGTGATCCGCGGTTGACCGAGATGGATGCTTTGTCAAGCTGTCAAGAAGCATAAACTTTGTTCCTCCTGAAGTATATATATATATTATATATATATATAGATTTTCCACATTTATGTTAGTTTACTGTATATATATATATAACCTACAGTTATAGCCCAAAATACCAGTCATGAGTCGGTTTTAGCACCCCGTTGGTGAAATGAGAAGCCCATAGAAATATCAATAGACATTGATGGTAAATCAAACTGCAAATAGAGGTGATACACTGTAATATTGGAGGATACAAATGGGGATCTTAAGGGATAATAATGATGAGACACATTTGAGGTGAAATACACGTTTAATAGAGATTATACGATAATATTATATACACTTGTTTTTGTTGACGAGTACATCTAATAATGGGACAGAAGGACTCTACATGTCAACTTCTTCCAGCAAGTACAATAGGTGATACAAATAAAGGTAGGTCGTTTATTTTGGTGTTCAATAATAATGGCAATAATGACAATATGTATATGATAAGCGTTAAACAAGCATGATATATTTCAAACAAGGCACACACACACATTTTTGCTGCATTTACAGTATATAGTGTATTGTTCTGACATAACATGACTTATTCAGTGATGCATATTATACAATATCATACAATACCATAATATGATAGTGCTGCGCATATCTTATCCATCAACAATTTCGGAAACACAACCATATAAGCAAGCAAACGTTTGGGTACTATAGCAACAATCATTTGTATTCATGTGTCAGTTTATATAGCCCCTTCTGAAAATGATGAGTCAATGCAAATCATCCCATGTGCGACGAAGATCTTACGGAAACGGCCGACCATTCATGGTTTCAGCCAAATGATTATACAACTGGTAGTTTCTTGGTCACGAAACATTGGCAACGGACACAACCAGGAAGAATATGGGTCACCAAGCATTGCAGGAACGCTGTAGTTTCATCTTTGGGATAATGGGCAGATCTGCAGGAACAATGATGGGCTTTTCGACGTATGCTCTCCTTTAAACCAATCTTTTCACCATCCAATAAATTCATGTTTTTTTGAATCCTCCTAGATGGCCCTCCTTTTGGGGTGAGGTTTGAGAAACGCCATGCAGTCTACAAATAGACATGACATGTACATAGTCTTCTCAGTATTGACTCAGTATATCTCAGTACGATATACATCAAAAATCATCAAAACCAACCATCTATTGCCGTCTATGTATTCAATTTCATTCTATGTCAAGGCCAACACATGTGAATCCAACATACTCAACAAATGTCGCAAGGTTTGGAACACCAACGCCTCCTAAACCCCCATGGCGCCTATCATGTCCACCATGCCGCTGCAACACAGAACCTCACTTCGTCACACTTCCAGAGAGATCAGCATGAAAACTCCAGGGATTCCATGGGATTCCCCCATATCAGAAAGGAGTGTTTTCTGGAGACTGTTGTAAACATTGTAAACTTGTGAACATATTTTTTGGTTGATTCAGACCCAATTGTTCTCATTTCTTGCTAGTTGATTTTTGGGTAGATGATACACATCAACATCAAGTATGATTGATGGCAAACTGAAATTTCCCAATTCCTCCCACTTAGTCACTTAGTGCATTTTTCTCACGGCTGCTGTACTCATGGCTATGAAAAATGGTGGATTGTCGGCTGCCATGTTTGATTACCAGAGGGTAAGAGGCGTATATTCAATGGGAATTTCAGGATCCTAAAATGGAGGTACTGTACCTTATAAGGCCATTTTGTGGGGATATTCCCTTACATATGCCTTATATAGGCCTTATATATGGTAGGTACCTCCAATTTAGGTTCCTGAAATGGCCATTGATATACCATTAGTTCCTTAATCAATCCAGTAAATCCCATTAAATATCCCCATTATTGATGGTGAAACACCCACCATATGCCAAGATACTCCACCAGCCATGGAAAACGAAGCCTGTGAGGCCACGGTCCTTCGAGCGTTCATGAGATTTTTGCACCCAACCGTTCTCCCATCCCATGATACCATAAAAAATTCATTATGGTCTATAGATATTGTATTTATAGATATAGGTATATATATACATGTATATGTAGACATAGTAGTTTAAGTGATTATATAGATATAGATATATAGATGATACACTGATACAGTATAATTAGTTATAAAATATAGATAACGACATAGTATTCACAGAGTATCCCTGTTATGATACCGTTTGACCATGGTTGATAAATAGCTGTCCTAATAATTGTGGACTATAGGTAGGTCAGTAACAATAGCCCCCTAGATGACCAATCAACAGGGTTGTTCTTAGTTTGATCACTAAATGGCACTCAAAAAGGGCGTGGTTGAATCGGGGTGAATCATCAAACAAATATAAAGTTCATAAAATTTGCAAACTAACTGTGCAAATGAGAACAGAGATTTTGGGCGTGAAGCTACAACTGGGAAACAAACAAATTATATCTTAAAATGTTGATTGAACCAACTCAAAACATGACTTTCACCAACTGCACGAATCAACAGGACCCAAATACGCAGATAAAAACCTCCATAAATAAACATCAAACATGGCCGATATTTTTTAGATACCCTGCTTTTAACATATGTTGTCGCAGAAGCTGGTTAGTATACAATTCCCACTGTTTGATAGCAACACATAAAATCACTCATCACTCGGTTTATCCAGAAAATATTATGTATGTTCGACCTCTTGTATTATCATAAAATCCCATATGATCAAACCTCATCGAGAAAAAAAAACAACAAACAAAAAAAACATCAACCGTGCAAAATATGGAGGTTACATCCCACAGAATATCCCAGAACTAATATGATCAGTTTTGTTGGAACCTCTCCATTTGTGATATATAATTATTCAAATTGCATTTTGTCAAAGTCACATCATTTTTGCTGGTTAAATATGGTTAAGTATGGTTAAAATACCATGTTTCACGGTCTATGCTGGTTGATTCCCCATGTTTATTGCGTTTGTTGTTGATTGAATCTCCATGTGTCATGTTTTGTTTTTCTGGTTAAATCCAATGTTTTATATAATATGTTGTTCTTAAATTGCCATTTTTTCACAATGTGTCATCGTGTTTGCCTGTGAATGCCAACTTTTCATGAGTTCTCATCCATGTTGCATGGGTTTTCATGGGTGTTTGCTGCTTAAACCACCTTAACTCCCCATCTTTCCATGTTTCCGTTGCTGTCACCACGCTTTTGAAGCCACCTGTTGCGCCAGCATCTTGGCCGCACAGCGATCGCGGGCCGAGGCGCAAAATCGCCGCGCTGAGGCCAAACAACGGCCCCAGGCCTTGGGAAAGAGATGGGACTTCGCCAACGTGGGGTTTCACCGTTCAGTAACCCATAGGAACCATGTATGGTATATATGCTAACATAAAGGGGGTATATTGATGGTAAATGTATGTAAATGTTACCATATATAGCAGCACCATGGATCCTATGGGTAAGTGAGGAAAGGAACCCCACCAACTAAGTCGTTGCTAAGTTGGTTGAAAGTGAACGGAAAACCTCCACAATCCACTGGTTAAAAATCAACGAATTCCATGATTTATGTTGATTTTTTTGAGCGGCATGTTTGGACCAAATGGGTATGGTTCAATATTATTGACCGACATCTTAGAGATGACTAAATACGAATAATTACACTCTGTTTGTGGGTCCACAAGTACTCCATCTCCCCATTTTCGAGCTATGTAGTTGTATATATACTGTATATATATATATTAAATTGTATTAATATAGACACCCTACGACTATATATATTAGTATGGGGGCATCAGCAGGGGGTTGGCCATCAGGATGTAGAGTAGAGGTTCTATCCGACCAAGATATCCCAGCAGTATAAGCTACAAACATGGGGAACATATGACGGACACATGGTGCTAAACTTGCTTAAACCATCTTAACCCCCTATATAACGAAATGTAAATGAATACAGTGCCATTGCTGGAAAATCATGAGCCCCCATGGAACACCTTTTGAAAAAGGATCTAAGACTGTGGAAGAAACTCAGCACAACTGAAAACCTAAAAATGTTGTTTGACAGGTTCAATTTGATGAAAACGTAAACATCATGTCGTTTGGAAAACAATGTCATACTCGTCTTGCAATAATCATACATTAGACTACCTGGTTAGTGATTGGCAGTTTCAACTTCTTCCATATAGACAGCAGTGGAAATCAATGAATATGAGACACACATATACCACCAGCATGTCTGTACCCCTCTGGTAATCAAACATGGCAATGAAAATCTTCCTATAAATGGAATTTTCATGTGAAGATAATGTATAATTTGGGCATTCTCCATTGCCACGTCTCATTACTGGAGGGTAGATCTTACTGATCAATGTTGATCACATTTCATTTTCATTCGGGTCTTAAGGGATTGCCACATTGTCAAGCCGTCAAGAAACACTCCAAGCAAAGCGCTGCAGGTTTTCATCATCAGTGACTGCCTGGCCAAAGTGGGATGGGTTCTATCCGATCTTCAACAATGATCTGGGTCAATTATAATGATTCACTAACCTGAAATAAGGCCAAAAAAAGGGGGAGAATTCCCCTTACTAACCAAGATTCCAGTGAGGGGAGAACAATATAACAGTGGAGGTCCTTAGTAATTACCCCAGAATGATGCCCCAACTGGCTATGGCCACTTTCCGGGAACTTCACCCACAAATGGACGACAAGTCCATACTGGTCCTGTTTAGGATCATTAATCCATTGTAGGGTGGTACTATGTGTTCGACAAAAATGAAGCATTTGGGAGAATTCCGGGTACCCCGCGTTTCGACAATCCCATCTCGCCATGGAAAATCCCTTGGATTCTGAACATGGGGTAAGGACAAATAAAACGTTTATCATCAATTCCCCAACTAGAATGGCCATTAAATCGGGTATCCCCAATTTTCAGACGCACCGTTTCATATGTCTGTCATGGTCCAAACATGGTCTCGCACCTCACAAACTGGTGGGACCATCAGGCACAGCGATCACCCCACCATCAATTTCAGGGGAATTTGTAGGGTATGTTCACCACCAATGGCGATCCTTCAGCTTAGAATATTAAAATCATCCAATTGTTGACTGTGGCACACACAAATCATGCCATATTCGCAACTACAGTACAACTTCTGATTGGACTGTTCTGAACATGTTTATCGTTTGTTGGTGGTTACTATTAATGTAACATTCCGCTACTATATCCCATTGTATCCACAGGATAGCAGCAGGTTTGTTTGTGAAGTCAAAAAAACATTGTTGCTGATTCAATCCCAATGTTTAATGGATAGCTCACAATGTTTTAGGGTTCCCATAGGATCCGTGTATGGTATATATGCTAACATTGGGGGGATATTGATGGTAAATGTTACCATATATAGCAGCACCATGGATCCGTCATGGGGTTTAATTCCTATTGACCTATTGTTCGTTGGTGGCCTCCCCATGTTCTCCCATTTTTGGATGTTTCAATCCCGGATCATCCCGGATCCCCGTGAGTTGCTCCACCTGCTTCAAAAGGATGCTTCGAACCTCCCGCTGGCGTTTGGCACGACGTCTCCAGGCATAGAACGCGGCCTGCGGTCCTGATTTTGGCTGGGTGAAATGGCGGGCTTTTGAGCCATGGAAATGATGAACGTATGATAATATAACCATGGATTACAGGGTTTCTTCACTGGATATTTGAATCTGGGAAAGGAGATTTGATGCACGCTAAAAATAATGTATGTTGACCAATTAAGTTGCGTCTCTACCCGAGTAAGATGGGCATTGTGAGATGTGGATCCAACATATAAAGGATGCGCATACTCAGTGCAAATGAGATAAGAGTTGTCTGAGAGTCGTTTTTTTTTTATTTCCTATCTCATGAGTAAAGTATTGTTTTCGCCCTTTGAAGGTGCCAAACTCCTATCTCATGTGGTTCTATTAGTCATTTGAAGGATACCTGCATCAATTTTTTACATTCCCACGGTTTATGGTTTTTAACCCTATAGGCTACACTTTGGACACATGAGAAAGGAGTTAGGGCTGATTTGAGGATGTTCACGTAACACATGTGTTGGGACTGTAGCATGTATATCCCATGAAGGAGTCCCATCTCATGGGTTTCATGCCGAGCCATCTGGCTCAGTGATAGGACTTGTGGGGATTTGACCCGGTAAATTTATCTGGGACCATATGAAGACGGGAGATGGTCATCAATATCACCGACTCATCCTGGTTCAATCACATGGTTTAGCATGTTTTAGCTTCACAGAAGGTATGGACTAGAGTCCAACTATATATTGTGGTTGATCAAACCACACATCACACATCTTGAATTAACTGAGGTTCATCATCCTAGGGAAAGAAAATTGAAACCAACAACAGTTGCAAGCGCAACTGACATATCTGATATATATATATAATTATATATATATATATTGATGACAAATTTATGTGTGCGTCATTTAACCATCTGTGCAAAGTCAGATGCCATGTAGTCTCTACCAATTTACCACAAACCGATGAAGTCGGTCAGGGTCCCCTGTACCCAGATCAGGATACTTGCCATTCAATAGGAATCCAATATCCTTCGGATCGAGTTGGGAGGTTCGTCAGCAAAAAAAAATACGGGATTTTCGACTACCCTCTGGTAATTTAACGTAGCTATTGAAAATTACCATTAATAGTGGATTTACCCATTAAAAATGGTGATTTTCCATAGTTACGTTAATTTACCAGAGGGTACATCAAAGACTAGGTTGTGGATCCACCGAACTTCCACCCTCCAAAAGGTCTAAAAATAGTGGATGGTATAGGTTTGTACGGGGCACATGCTCAAAGTGTGAAGATCCCGGTGGCGACACGGTTTGCCTCGGCCTCTGCTCATCCCACCATCATGGGATTCCCCGATTAATTTGTTGGCCCATTTAAAATCTTTAAACATGGATGACCATCCCCCAGTTCATGGGTTCATCAAACTGTTGATCCTTCTCACTGTATATATATATATATATATATGTTTTTCGTTATATCCCATTAAATCCTACTTATATTGGACAGTAAGTAGGATATTACATTCCAAAATATAGGACAGTCACATCCCACTTAAATCCCATATATTCATTACATCCCATTTCATCAATGGGAATTTCAGGATCCTACAATGGAGGTACAGAACCATATAAGACCATATTTTGTGGAGATACTGTGTTCCCTTACATAGGCCTGAAAAATTGGCCTTGGGTGTGGTAGGTACCTCCAATAAAACGGTTCCTGAAATGGCCATTGCTTTCAATTAAACCCGACTTTTCACCATGGCACGACAAAAGTTCAGGCCGTCCCTCGCGCCGCACCTTGCTGCCCATGACGTTCCAAATGCTGGCGCCTTGAGAATTGGGGGAGTAGATTGCAGCAAACATGGAATATATATTGGGGATAATAGCATAACATAGTATAAATAACTAAGAACATTTAATAGTTGAGTTGAGTATAATTTCTATATTGCTATTGCTAAGAATCGATATATAATAATTTTGAGTATAGCCAGCCAAATGGATGGTGGATAATAAAATGGAGAGTGGAATGCATATAATAGTATGTGGATATAACTAACTAATTGACATACAATGTGGATATAGCTCACTGACAATGGATAATAGTATAACAACAAACTGACAATATATATATATATAGTATATAATAGTATGGGCCATAATGGGGATATAACTAAGTAACAATTGTATACAATCGTATGAGATGATACTAATGGGATGTATAATGAGGATTGAATTGTGGTTGGATTCTCAGGGTCGAACGTCGAAGTGTTGCCTGTTGGGGGATAAATTAACCAACACTCGGATGATATAAATATTGGGACTATAAATTATATAACAATTATAATTGCTCTATTGATATCATGAAAATTCATGATATTATACAGTAGTTATACCTATATATGAGCATGAATAAAGTGATAATTTGGAAAATTGTTGGAACATCCCACTTATACTAATTGGTTACCAAAGGGATTCCCAGTTCATGAGCTGTGATAATCCCCAATATATTTCAACTCATTGCGAGGCTTGCGAGGCCGAGAAAATATCCAATGACTTGACCGAAAGGATTCATGGTGAAAAATGAAGGTGAATATATGTCAACAACATGGAGATTAAGACCAATCATGACTAATGAATATATTGGAATAGATCACAGCAGAGGATCAGTGGATTTTAGTATTATATATATAAACACTTCCATTTTGAGGTGCTAAATGACTTGACAACAAGTTCACAAACCACCCAAATGACGATAATGACTCCCTACCAAGTTTTGATAAATTGACATGATTAAACCATGAACCTCATTCATTTGTGTATGCAAAACTCACAGGTTCAGGACGTGCATTAATGTTGCTTGGCAAACAAATCAACCAACGCCATGGCCCATGCCGAACAAAAAATCCCCGCTTTACCCAGAAAACCGAGGAAACCGGGTCGAATTTTGAAATATTTTGATGTTGCAAAACTATGCTTTAAACTCACCAACACAGAAAACCCAGCCATTGGGAAAAGAGATGCTGCATGGTGATGGGAATGACCGTCCATTCCCACTGTGGAATCCATGAAGTTGTATCAGAAAACGAGTCGGAGTGTTTACATTAACTATGCCAGCAGTGTGGTTCGCCCAAGCCCCCACTACTATATACTTATGTATTGCCAGTAGGTTCCCTGCCCGGTGGTGGGGAAATCACCATGTTTTTGCTAACAAGGTTGAATGTCCAAATCCACTATGTTCATGTTTGGTGGATGTACCCTCTGGTTATTTAACAGTTCGCCATGGAAAATCACAATTTTTAAGTTCGGTAAATCATCATAAATCATCTATGAATGGTCCTTTTTCCATAGCAAACTGTTAAATGACCAGAGGCAGAGGGTATCCACCTTCACAGGATGAACCACAATGTTGCTTGGCTAAACATGGCTAAACATGTTAAACTGTAAACCACTTAGTACTCTGGTGAGCTGAATCTTAGATACCAGTCAAAAAAAGAAGCTGATGAATGTACATGTCACCATTCATAGCAAAAGATTAAAGTACTAAAGAACCTAACAAAGGTTGACCAAGCCAACAAGGATTTCTCAACTTTTCCCCAACATGGATCCAGTGATAGTCAGTCCCCAGCGTCCCCAGATTTTCTTCGCCAAGCAGCTGCCGGACTAGCGCGCCTGCGGATTTGGTACTGCAAAAATTGTTGATCTGTTATGTGAAGTTGACAGTTAGCGCATTGCACAAGGTATGGGAATGTACTCAGCAATCGCTGGGACGCTCAGCAACAAATAAGGCGGAAGAACATAAATTTTGTGTGTGTGGTTTCAACCTCCATGAAGATCTTACTTATGTCCTCATTTCAAACTTTAGACACCCTACAAAGCACAATCTTCCGTGAGTTCGTGAGTTTATCCACCTTTTTCACTGGATAGATCACCACACCACGTGACGTATTCAAAAAACAGTAGTTAATTATACTGGTTGGTGTTTCAACCCCTCTGAAACATATTAGTCAGTTGGGCGTATTCTTCCCAATATATGGAAAAAAACATGTTCCAAACCACCAACCAGTATAATTTTCAACTGCATGTTCACACCCACCAATATTGGTCCACAAGTCTTGCAATAGCCAGCCCCCCGAACTGTTCCCCCCACCGATGGTTTGTCGCCGGCGCAGCTGTGTCGTCCAGGCTTTGAAAGAGAGTCTCAGATTCCTCGTGATGCATTGGTGAAAGGGAAAATCATCAGGAAACCAAGGCTTTTAAACTTGCACATATGGGTGGTTTCCTGTAGATTTCCCATCATCCAATGCTGGGAATGTTGGTGTATCAACACTTAATTTGCCCATCAACAAAATGCATTTGACCTCAGCTGTTTGGTACATCTACTGCCCAGCCACAATTTTTCAATGGAGTCATGGCATATGAAAAAATTCAATGGCCACGATACCCAGATGTTGGTGGTTTCATTGGTGGTTTCGACCCCCCTTAAAAAAAAAAAAACATATATTTTGGACCATCACCCTAAACAAGTGGGAACACAGATATTTATGATATTTGAAAGCACCAGATGTTCAGAAGCAATAGGGCTCCAACAAAAACCACGATTGGCTCAAACATTGTACATCAACATCGACTCATGTTGGGTCACTCCTGTGGTCATTGCAGGGGATCTGGGTCACCAAGAGGCGAGATGCAGAGTAAGGATTGATCCCAAGAATTCCAATAACATGAATAAACATTGGTGAATTGATTCCTCTTGCCATGTTTGGTAATTCCTTCCCCCTTTTATATTAAATATATCAAATACCCGAAACAAAACCCAGGTTTGATATTAATTATAGACTACAGGTCTATTCACTTTTTGAGGTTCCAGATGGTCCCAGCCAGATATATGGGGAATTGGATTACCATCAACCCATACCCAAACCTCGAAGCTGGTCTAGGTGCCCCAGCACGGAGTGGTTGATCCTCAAGCAACCGCGATAGAGTTCCTGCAGTTACTCCCCGGCATCAACCATATGGAACCATGGTGATCTTGGGCCGCCATCAATTCCATGTGGAGGTTTCCTAAAATGGGGGTACCCCCCAATCATCCATTTTCCTGTTTTATGTTTTTGTTTCCATTAAAAAAAAAAAACAATCCATTTTGGGGTACCCCGTTTTAGGAAACCACCATGTAAAAAAAAACCACGGCAAACGCCGAAGCTTATCAGTCCCAAGTCTTGGGATAAACCTGGGGTGGTTCAAACCCACTACGTTACGCCCAAAGGGTGAGGCTGTTAACCCCCTCTTGAAATCCCCTGAATATCCCCTGAAAAGGGAAATACAAGGAACCTGATCGATCAAATTGTATACTGATAATATGGCTCGGAAATTGATCAACTAACGTGAGATGATGAAGAACCTTTTCTTAGGAAGCTGGATGGTGGCTCACCTAACCCAACAATGTGAGGAGGCCTGAATCATCCGTGGTTTTCAGTTCCTGCGGACTGAAAAAAAATGGGTCTGTCTCAAAACTGTGTCAATCAGATAATCACTTACTGGTGCTTAGCAGGGAATTTTCGGGAATGATCCATAATCACTAGTAAGAATCAGCAACCCCCATTCCCACCCATTCCCTATGTTTAGCACCAGTAAGTTCATCATTTGACTCTTTTGAGCGCCATTTCATCGCAAGTTTCTGCCACCAGGACACCTGCGCACGTCGCTTCGCCACCAGCTTCCCTGCCTCGGTTGTGCATCCCCGGTCAAGGGCTACGAAAATGGCCCACATCATTTATAATTTGGTTAAAACATGTTAAAACAATAATAAACCATCCCCAAAATCATCATAAATGGGTGGTATTAACCCATCAAAAACGTGGTGGTTTATTGTTTTACCCACATTTGATGATCAATGATGACCACATAGGAAAACATATTGAAAAATGGTGATTGTCCGCAACTTCATTAGTTTAGAGGAGGGTAATTCATCTATAGTCTAGTTCTCATGCGAGATTTTCAACATTGTTTGGAATAACGAAAGAGCAGGTGAACCAGGGGATGCCCCTGTATACTGTACCTGTCATGCCTCTTCCTCCAAAACCGCATATTCTTTTCTTGTGAGCATTGAATCCTCCTTCCCTTTGGTTTGGACATTTCTCCTAGTCGTCTCAAACTCAAAAAGAAAAAACACACCTCCTGTCTTGGACACACCCAAAATTTCAGTATGTTGCCTATAAAACCCTCCCATTGTTTGATGATTAAATTCCGCCTTGGTGTTCAAACCCATATAGCTTGATAATATTAAGCCCGTTTTTAAAATTGTTGTTGGTGACTCCATCCCTATGTCGTGTTCCTATCAATGTTCAAACCCACATATCATGACATCTCCAGTGCATCCCCATTCTGGCCTTATAAACATGTGTTTTTGACAAACCTGTTTTGAGAAAAATATAATTTGCGTCAGAATGTATTGGTGGCGAAACTACATAATTTGCTTGTAGAAACATAAATTCTGTTGGCTAAACCTCTGAAGCCTCCCAAATTGCGCAGGTGAAATCCGACAAAAAAACTGGGAAATCTTCATTTCTCTCACAGGAAACCCCGATTTCACTCAATAAAAATATATAAAAATAATAAAATACTCCCAATTTCCTGATATCTCAAGGAATATCAGACATTTCCCTGGTGAAATCTCCATTTTTCCTGTTGAAAATCACTAAAATCCCCAAGTTCCACCAGGCTACCCATGCGCGCCAGAAGCGCTGCAAGCTTCGCTGCCCGTGCCAGGCGCCAAAGGCGGCGTCCAAGGCATCGCGGCCGGCGTCTGGCTGTTGCCAGGTGGGGGTGGATTGATCGCAACAAAAATGGCGACTTAATGGGAACCATAAGAAATGGGGATCATTTAAGGGGATAATCCAAGGAAGTTGTTCAAGTCAAACTTCCGACAACATGGACAGATGGAGTGGTGAAAGAAGTCAGAGAGAGAGAGAGAGAGTCAGAAGAGAAAGAAGATCAAGGCATATGAAAAGGTAGAAAAATCGCCAAACACTGTGTTTTTTCCCACTTCGTTAAATCCAATGAAATCGCATTTGTTCTTGGTTAAATCCATGAAATAGATCACTAGATGTTTTTTTGGGTTAAGTCCAATGAAATCATCACATGTTTGTTGCTTAATGCACCAGAGTCAGGCGCCTAGCTTCCGCTCCAGCTGATGAAAGCTCCGCCGACCCTCCACCGACCAAAGGCTCCTTGCGCAAGCAGGAAACCCGGCAAAGGTGGCAGAACGCGGGGATCAGTCCAAGGGTGGCGTTAACAACACCATGTATGTATGCATGGATGGATGGATGCATGAATGCATGGATGTATGCATGTACGTGCGTACATACATACGTATGTATGTATGGCTGTCTGCCTGCCTGCCTGCCTGGTTGTCCGTCTGTCTGGATGCATGCATGCATGCATCCTTGGACGCATGTATGCATGCATGCATGCATGGGTGCATGCATATGGATGTATGGATGTATGGATGTATGGATAATTAGATAATTGGATACATGGATGTATGCATGTATGCATGTATGCCTGTATGCATGCATGCATGGATGCAACGATGCATGATGTATGCATGTATGCATGGAAGCATGTATGCACATGTGCATGTATGCATGTGTGGATGTATGGATGTATGCGTGTATGCCTGTATGCCTGTGTGCATGCATGCATGCATGCATGCATGGATGCATCATGCGTACATGCATGGATGCATGCATGCATGCATGCATGCATGGATGCATGTATGCATGTATGATCATGTATGCATGGATGTGACACAAATCACCATATTGTCTTGTTTAAATCCCTTAAAATCACCACTTCTGTTGGTTCAATTCACCTTTCCCATGTCATCAATGGACCGCCTTTAGGGACTGAGGCCCCACCATTCCTTCAACCCTCTCCTCACTGAGGCCCCCTGATCCGGTTGGAAATGGAGGGGCGCGCATGGGGCGGCAATAGGATCTCTTCACAAAGAAAACGGACAATTATATGGTAATATATAATGATGGTAATATGGTAATGATAAAAAATAATTCAGTATATGAATAATATGATGGTAATATGATTCTGGTTGGTGGTTTCAACCCCTCTAAAAAAAATAGTCAGTTGGGATGATTATTCCCAATATATGGAAACATAAAACATGTTCCACACCACCAACCATATAATATATATATATATAATATATGTATGACTCTCAACCAATCACTTGCTACCTCTACCAAGGATTCGTTACCCATGTCCATGATTCGTGTGATTTTTTGTTACCCATGTCCAAATATCCAAGGATCATCATCCAAGGGAAGTTCGGGAAGCATCCCCGTATTGTTCAATGAATACCAACTAGGCTGTTTATCCCCAAAATCATCAATGTGGTAAATCCAATTAAAAAGCTATCAACTATTCCCAATACCAGAACGAGGTGTGAACGCAATTCCTAAATGGGATTTATAAACCATGTGTATCCATTATTCTTTTGGGGGTTCCGAAATTTACAAACCACTCTTATCTGGGTAAATCATAATTCACTGAAACAATGCTCAGAATAGAATAATGATTATCCAGTGAATTATGATTAAATAAGCCTTATTTCTGTGAATTATCCAGTGAATTATGAGCCTTATTTGATAATTCAAACAATTCCATAGAATTCCCATGATTCCAGAACAGTCGGTGATTTATTCAGACATCGCAACGGATCGACTGTCGCGCCGCCGTCGTGCCTCACTCCTCGCGCCGTGTGTTGCACTGGGCGTCCTGTGGGGATGGCCGATACTGTGGATGAAATCCTGCACCAGTTGGCAACCGTTACTGGTAGGTAACAAAGAGAAACATTGTAAATAATGGGATTATAAGGGGATAAACCATATACCAACTGGTGCGGGATTTCTTCCATCCACCGTAGTTCTGAAATCATGGTTGAGAATGGTTTCTGAAAACTGTGGTCACATTATGGAAAATCAATATGGAATGCAAAACCATCATTCTTAATCGGTAAATCAACTACAAATGGCCATGTTGTATAGCTATGTTGGTTTACCAGAGGGCATATTTGGGGGTTTCTTAAGTCTTGGGTCACCATAGGTTTCAGTACCAAAATGGTCTAAGTTGGATGGTTTGCGGGTACCCTCATTTTAGGAAACCTCCAAATATGCCATGGTCAAAAGTCAACAAAAATGCTATATTCGGTATGAAAATCCATCCCATAATGGGAATCCTGATGATAGGTGCCCCTATCAATAGGGCGATGACCATTTCCTTTTATGAGTGTGTAATCCAACTGTTGACCATGGCACGTATGAGGATGTGGAGAGACCAATGGATACAATTAATTCATCAACAAAACTGAGGAGCATATATATTTCATCACTAATATTTCAGCTGGGCAGGAAAAAAACGTCCGCATTTGCTCAGCATTTAGGCTATGACATTACTCAAGGCACCACATTTATGTCGAAACCATTCATGGCCCATGGCCCATTTCTGCTGGTTCCAACAGAAAATGGCCTGTAAGCAGCTCCGTTCTCACCTGGCATCCCAATGGTCTGTCATGGGGGAGCACTGCTGGGCACCACCTTATAGGAGAAGGATGTGTGATATGGGAACTTGTTATGTTTACTGTATCTTTCGCGGAAGGGGGGGGTACCAATTCTATCTCTATATATAATATATCCCCCTTATAATATTAAGTTGAACCCGGGTGGCGCCATTTTATAAGAAATTCCTTATGAAATGCTAGTTCCACGGCAAAAATTCCTTATAGAATGCATATAATTCAGGAGTCGGAAAATAGGGAACTCCAATTAGCATTTTATAAGAAAAAACGCATTCTTATAATATGATAGACCAGAGTCCAAAAAAACGGCTTATAGATCGTGGCCCAGACAATTTACTTTTTTGGTGATTACCCGATATACATTTTATAAGGTGGGAGTGGAAATTTCACAAATTATCAGAGAATATCAGAGATTTATACTGAAAGTGACAAACTGTCATTCTATAAGGCACCTCCAGGGCATCTTATAAGAACAAAAACTGTGCAAACCTGATTTCTCCGGGATTCTCCGGGTATGTTTTTCTCAGTTTGTGCTGGTAAAACCTGTAATTATCAAAAGAAATTGTTTATATTGCAAAGATTTGCAAAGTAAGTGTACCTTATATAATGGATATTCAATAAAAACAAACATGAATCTTGCACGCATGCAATAAGCTTTTGAAACATTATAAAATGGCAAATAGTGATTCAGGTCACTGCTACAACAATAGGCATAATATAAGAAACCAAAACAACTTACTACCTGCAGGCGGCCTGCCTGTTATAAAATGATAATCGTACTTTGTGGTAAGGATGATATGACATTATTGTCATTTTATAGTTGCATAATACTACATATAACTACTATATACATCTATATGCATCGTTGTGCATCTAGATACATGTATATTATACATGTTTAACACCTTTATACATCTAATAGACATCTAATATATATAAAAGAAAGTACGAGAACATAGAATACAGAATTTTGAAAAACAGGTTTTGGGGCATCTTCCATAATTGGAAAAAAAAACGGTGTACATAGAATATCCCAGGAGTGTACATAGAATAATTTTAATTCTGGAAGATGTTTTTTTTGTTTTTTTTTAATTATCAAATTTTCACCCGTACTGTAGCATAAATGGACATAAGTGGACATTGTTCAAATTGTCATCTCACTAAAATCCTTTGGATTATCAAAATATCACTCATACTGCAGCATAAATGGACATAAATGAACAGTTTTCAAATTTTCACCACGCCAAAATCCTTTGAATTATCAAAATATCATCCGTGCTGCGGCCTAAATGGACATAAATGATCATTTTTTAACTTTCACCCCACTAAAATTATTTGAATTATCAACATATAACCCGTGCTGCAGCATAAATGGTCATAAATGGATATTTTTCAAATTTTTCACCCCACTAAAATCCACCAGAACACAATAGAATCCCTCACAAAATTGTTCAAGCTCACCGAAGGGTGCCCCCCAGGACCGGTGTCGAAGGACTATTAAAAAGAAACTATTTTGCAATGGAAAATAATGAAAACCAATGGAATTAGGCGGTGTTCCTGAAAAAATGGATGAATATTTTCACTGGGGACCTATATTCTATGATATTCTATGTATGTAGTGGCTGCATTTGGCTACGTCATTGGCGCTGAGTGCCTTCCCAAACTTTGAGGAGGCCCAGCAAGGCTACCTCCATAGCTATACATCTAAATTGGGCAGTTGAAAATAATAATCTTTTGTGTATAAAAACATTTTTTTCCGTGAAAAAAAAAACAATTTGCTGTGAACACATTCTGATTTTCAGTGATGTTTAAGGACATGAGGTGTAAGTTTTTATCAAACTTACAGTTTTGAGGTGTGAGTTTACATCAAACCTACACTAAATTTACATATCAGGAGTGTAACTTTGATGTAAACTTACATGCACAAGTGTAAATTTGATGAACACTTACATGTTTGAGGTGTCAGCTTACACCAAACTTACATTTACAAGTATAAGTTTACACTTTTGCGTGTAAGTTTGATATAAATTTACAGTGTTGACATGTAAGTTTGATGTAAATTTATACTTATACTTATGATTTATGATGTGTAAGTTTAGTGTTAGTGTAAATTTGATGTAAACTTACACATCAAAAAGTGCAACTTTGATGCAAATTTACATCAAATTTACACCTCATGTCCTTAAGGGTTCCCGTCCCTGCCGCCAACCCCAGAACAAAAAAAACACAAACATTGAATCATTGATGTATCGTATTTGCTGACCCAACCAACTTTCATGGGAACACTCCTAACAGTTTTTTATACCATTTTTTATGCGAACACTCCCAACATTTCTGTATAGAATTTTGTTTTTATGCATCCCCCCGTTCTCATAGACACCCTAAGACATGTAAGACACTCACTTCTTTGCAGAACTTCATACATAGAATAGAAGTCCCAAGGGAAGATTCATCCGAGGAACACCACCTAATTGCATTGGTTTTCATTGCCAAATAGAATTTATCATTTTTCTACGGGACCAGTCATGGGGGTACGTACCCTTAGGTGAGTTTGAAAAACTATTTTTTTCAATACAAAATCAAAATAAATTGATCATTTCGGGGGACCCGTTTTTTTTCTTTATTTTCCAGTTCAGGAGCTTCAGACATCCAGGGTTGCCTCCCTCCAAAGGGAATGATGTATGTAATATATACCCTTATACATGTAAGAGACTCAATTCCTTGCAGAACTACATACATAGAATTTAAGGGGCGATGATTTTTTTATTTTGTTTTCAGTCTGGGGCAGTTTTCCTTGCTATTTGCTACATTTTGGGGCTAAAATCTCTGATTTGCGTGCTATTTGCTGCATTTTGGAACCAAAATCTCTCTGATTTGCGTGCTATTTGCTGCGTTTTTGAACTAACATCTCTCATTCTGCATGCTATTTGCAGCATGTCGGAACTGAAGTCGCAAACTTGGGTAAATAAATCGTAAATTTGCCCGATAATTGCAACATTTTAGTTTCGCCCATTTTCCCATGGGTTTTCAACGATGTCTGGATGGTTTTCATCGTTTTTTTGATCGTCTTCAATGGTCTTTCCGTGGTTTCAAAGATTCTTTAGGGTTTCTTGTAGGGTTCTTGAGGGTTTAGGGTTTCATTATGAAAGTTTTATTTACGGTTTCTTTAGCGTTTGATTCAGGGTTTCTTTAGGGTTTCATTTAGGGTTTCTTTAGGGTGTCGTTTTTGGTTTCTCTGGAATGTCTTTTGAGGTCTCTTTAAGGTTTCTTTAAAATTTAATCTATTTTTTTTTGAAAGTTTCAGACATCTAAGGTTTCTTTAGGTTTTAAAGTTCTATTTAGGGTTTCTTTCGGCTTTAGGGTTTCTGTAGGGTTTTTTTAAGTTTTATTTAGGGTTTCATTTCGGGTTCCTTTACGGTTTTCTTTCGGTGTTATTTTAAGGTTTCATTTAGGTTTTCTTTGGTGTTTTTTTAAGGGTTTTTTTTAAGGTTTCTTTAGGGTGTCGTTTAATCGTTTATATAATGTCTGCTGGGGGTTCGTCGGGGACACATTGGCCAGGGGCAGCCCTTCTGAAATGCTAGTCCCAAGCTGCGTAGGTATCTTAATGTTGGCTCCTGATTAGTAGCTAGGTTCGCTATTGTGGCAAATTTTCTCCAAATTATTCTGAAACCCATGTATTGTTTGGAGGGCTCACTTTTGTGGAAAAAAAATGGTAGATTTTTTTTGGAAAAAACAACCTGTAATTGCGAAGAGGAAGACTTTTTTTCCAAAAACAATTGCCAAATTCGAACTCCAAGCCTTTCCCAAAGGAGCAAATCCCTTATTAAACCCTTATTAAAGAACAGCTTTTCCACAATTTTCCAAGGCCCTGCACCAGGAGAGGCTCCATTTCACTTTAGAAGGTTTGTTTGCTGGGTTCACTATTGTAGCAAGCTGTGCCAGAGCAGCTCCTGGAAGCCCACAAGAGAAGCAAGCCTTTTCCAAAAGCAATTGCCAAATTCAAACCCCAAGCCTTTCCCAAAGGGGCCAATCCCTTATTAAACCCTTATTAAAGAACAGCTTTTCCACAATTTTCCAAGGCCCTGGACCCGGAGAGGCTCCATTTCACTTTAGTAGGTTTGTTTGCTGGGTTCACTATTGTAGCAAGCTGTGCCAGCGCAGCTCCTGGAAGCCCAAAAGAGAAGCAAGCCTTTTCCAAAAGCAATTGCCAAATTCAAACCCCAAGCCTTTCCCAAAGGGGCCAATCCCTTATTAAACCCTTATTGAAGAACAACTTTTCCACAATTTTTCAAGGCCCTGGACCCGGAGAGGCTCCATTTCACTTTAGTAGGTTTGTTTGCTGGGTTCACTATTGTGGCAAGCTGTGCCAGAGCAGCTCCTGGAAGCCCAAAAGAGAAGCAAGCCTTTTCCAAAAGCAATTGCCAAATTCGAACTCCAAGCCTTTCCCAAAGGAGCAAATCCCTTGTTAAACCCTTATCAAAGAACAGCTTTTTCATAATTTTCCAAGGCCCTGGACCCGGAGAGGCTCCATTTCACTTTAGTAGGTTTGTTTGCTGGGTTCACTATTGTAGCAAGCTGTGCAAGCTGTGGGTACTACAAGTACTACAAGTACTACAGGTACTACAAGTACTACAAGTACTACAAGTACTACAAGTACTACAAGTACTACAGGTACTACAAGTACAACAAGTACTACAGGTACTACAACTGCAAGTACTACAAGTACTACAAGTGCTACCAGTACTACAAGTACTGCAAGTACTACAGGTACTACAAGTGCTACAGGTACTACAAGTACTACAAGTACTACAGGTACTACAAATACTACAAGTATTACAAGTACTACACGTACTACAAGTACTACAAGTACTACAAGTACTACAAGTACTACAGGTACTACCAGTACTACAAGTACTACAAGTACCACAAGTTCATCGGCAAAAAACAGTTTTAATTAGATTTCAATTGTAGCC